GTGGACACACCGCCATAGTGACAGTATTGGGCAGCGCCACTCATCCTGTGAGTGGACACACCGCCATAGTGACAGTATTGGGCAGCGCCACTCATCCTGTGAGTGGACACACCGCCATAGTGACAGTATTGGGCAGCGCCACTCATCCTCTTAGTGAAATATTTCTTACTACAGTACTGAAATAAAGAGGTGTCGACACCAGAGGAATAAGTCAAGAAAGACCTGGGTAAATACTGGTTTCGAAACAGGGTTGTTGATTGAAATCACCAATTACCGGGTAACATCACTGACGTGGGATCGCTGGATTGTTTCAAGCGACGGATACACACATGTATGAATGAGTTTTGTTGTATTCAGGCATTTATTTTTATTTTGTTTAAATCGCTCCTTAAGGGGCTTGTTTATACGACAATTATACAAGTATTGAGTTCCACTGTATTTGTGGCCCACGTTTAAAGCGACCGAGCCCATTAAACAACGCAATTCGCGGATTGAGAACGACCTCACTGCGTTACCAATTAACGATATCGTTGCTTACCGCTTCGTTCCATTGATTCGTAATTACAACGCGTTAATCACCCGCCACTTTATTGATTTTTATATTGATTTTATTGCGTACGTTCCCTGTGTACTGTGCGCCCGGGGCGTGCGGGGCGGGGCTGTCTTACGGCCTGGGGCGGGGCGGGGGGAGGGCTGTCTTACGGCCTGGGGCGTGCGGGGCGGGGCTGTCTTACGGCCTGGGGCGTGCGGGGCGGGGCTGTCTTACGGCCTGGCGCGGGGCGGGGGAGGGCTGTCTTACGCCTTGCTCCGGGGCGGGGCGGGGCTGTCTTACGGCCTGGGGCGGGGCGGGGAAGGGCTGTCTTACGGCCTGGGGCGTGCGGGGCGGGGCTGTCTTACGGCCCGGGCGTGCGGGGCGGGGCTGTCTTACGGCCTGGCGCGGGGCGAGGGAGGGCTGTCTTACGGCCCGGGGCGTGCGGGGCGGGGCTGTCTTACGACCTGGCGCGGGGCGGGGGAGGGCTGTCTTACGCCTTGCTCCGGGGCGGGGCGGGGCTGTCTTACGGCCTGGCGCGGGGCGGGGGAGGGCTGTCTTACGCCCTGCTCCGGAGCGAGGAAGGGCTGTCTTACGCCCTGCTCCGGGGCGAGGAAGGGCTGTCTTACGCCCTGCTACGGAGCGAGGAAGGGCTGTCTTACGCCCTGCTCCGGAGCAAGGAAGGGCTGTCTTACGCCCTGCTCCGGGGCGAGGAAGGGCTGTCTTACGCCTTGCTCCGGAGCAAGGAAGGGCTGTCTTACGCCCTGCTCCGGGGCGAGGAAGGGCTGTCTTACGCCCTGCTACGGAGCGAGGAAGGGCTGTCTTACGCCCTGCTACGGAGCGAGGAAGGGCTGTCTTACGCCTTGCTCCGGGGCGAGGAAGGGCTGTCTTACGCCTTGCTCCGGGGCGAGGAAGGGCTGTCTTACGCCTTGCTCCGGAGCAAGGAAGGGCTGTCTTACGCCCTGCTCCAGGGCGAGGAAGGGCTGTCTTACGCCCTGCTCCGGGGCGAGGAAGGGCTGTCTTACGCCCTGCTACGGAGCGAGGAAGGGCTGTCTTACGCCTTGCTCCGGGGCGAGGAAGGGCTGTCTTACGCCTTGCTCCGGGGCGAGGAAGGGCTGTCTTGCGCCTTGCTCCGGAGCGAGGAAGGGCTGTCTTACGCCCTGCTCCGGAGCGAGGAAGGGCTGTCTTACGCCCTGCTCCGGAGCAAGGAAGGGCTGTCTTACGCCCTGCTCCGGGGCGAGGAAGGGCTGTCTTACGCCCTGCTCCGGGGCGAGGAAGGGCTGTCTTACGCCCTGCTACGGAGCGAGGAAGGGCTGTCTTACGCCCTGCTACGGAGCGAGGAAGGGCTGTCTTACGCCTTGCTCCGGGGCGAGGAAGGGCTGTCTTACGCCTTGCTCCGGGGCGAGGAAGGGCTGTCTTACGCCCTGCTCCGGAGCAAGGAAGGGCTGTCTTACGCCCTGCTCCGGGGCGAGGAAGGGCTGTCTTACGCCCTGCTCCGGGGCGAGGAAGGGCTGTCTTACGCCCTGCTCCGGGGCGGGGAAGGGCTGTCTTACGCCTTGCTCCGGAGCAAGGAAGGGCTGTCTTACGCCCTGCTCCGGGGCGAGGAAGGGCTGTCTTACGCCCTGCTCCGGAGCGAGGAAGGGCTGTCTTACGCCCTGCTCCGGAGCGAGGAAGGGCTGTCTTACGCCCTGTCAAATCAAGATTATAATATTGATGAGTAACCAGCTCTTGCTCAAGGACGAGTTGCATTTGACAGTCTCGATTGTTGTTGTTGTTCAAGATTCGCTACCTGGAAGAAAAAGTTCCCGGTAGCACGGGCTAAGGTGATCCCGTAGTTCTCGAGGGAAAAGTAGCGGAGTACGGCCTTCCCTCCTGGGTGATGCGAATGTTGCTAGGACCAGTGATTTGTTGCTAGGACCAGCGATTAGTTTCTAGGGCCCTAGTCCTAGCTTATTGTTGAAAATAGTCGCTTATTAGGGCTAAAAAGGAGATGCCTAGTGTTTGAAGATTTACTACTAATTCAGAGCAGCAGTGGCAGATCAAAGCAGCTGTTGTGTACAGCGCAACAACACAGCTCATCTTGGACTCATGGAGTGACTGATGACACAATAGCCCTTAATCTATCCTATCCTCCACTTTTGGATGTGTAGTGCCTCGCAGATGTCAAGCCGCCTGCTATCGCTGTATCTATCGATGATTTCTGTGTTGTTTGTTAACAAACATATTATATATATATATATATATATATATATATATATATATATATATATATATATATATATATATATACACTGTCACACTGGACTTGTGACAAACACAAGACAGAACACGAAACTATGGGTATTAATTGGATATGAGAAATATATATATATATATATATATATATATATATATATATATATATATATATATATATATATATATATATATATATACACACATACAGTATACACATTTTTGTCTATATAATTAGTTGTTTTTGGGAGGCTATAAAGTGAGCAGTTTATTTGACAACTGTAATCTTTTAATCACCGAAAAACATATGGTCACACTTTTATGTGTTTTGTCGCCCACTGGACTCGCACGCGCGTGTGTGTACTCACCTCTTTGTGCGTGCAGGATCGAGCTTTAACTCTTGGACCCGGCATTTCTAGCCGTCGGTTGTCTAACGCAATGACTCCTGACCTGTGAGTCAATAACGCCTGATCTGTGAGTCAATAACGCCTGATCTATGAGGCAGTGAGTCCTGACTCCTTTTGTTGATTTGTGGAATCAATTATCACGTAATAGGATAGAAGTAGGAGCCCTTGATTGCTTCAATCGTAGGTTAGACGATTATGAGTGGGAGTGGGTGGATATGAATAGGAGCTGCATCGTATGGGGCAATAGGCCTTCTGCAGTGACCTTCATTCTTATCATATCAACTTTTAAAGTTATGAATGGTGTTTATTTCGACAATCTGCTCCGTTATTTCGTTCCATTTTTCTCATTACTCAGTAATAAGTAATTACTGAATGTAATATATATATTATATTAATTACTCAGTAATGAGTAATTACTAAACGATTCCTTACACGCTAAAAGAAAGCTTTCTAACATCTCTATGGCTCATCTGAGTCTCAAGCTTCCATATCCATGTCCTCTTGTTCTATAAATATTCATTGTAAACATTTCATCCTTTTCCACTCTATTAATCCCCCCTTAATACTTTGAATGTCTTTGTCATGTCTCTTTCTCTCTCCTCTTTTTTCTAGCTTCCAGTGACCTGTTGTACACCATAGAGAGTGGCACACTTAGTGCCTCTGAACCTTCTTTTAGTATTCACGGTGAGATTCTGTCAGGCCCAACAGCATTTGTCACATTCAGCTCCAACAGATTCCTTTTGACCTCATCACTGGTGAGGTCAAATTCCTCCAAGGTTGCTTGGTTTGCCTCCTCATTTAGTGCAGGGGCTTCTCCTTGTTCTATTGTGAAGACCTCCTGGAATCTCTTGTTGAGTTCTTCACACACCTCCTTGTCGTTCTCTGTATATCTGTTCTCCCCTTTTCTCAGTTTCATCACTTGTTCCTTCACTGCTGTTTTCCTCCTGATGTGGCTGTGGAGCAGTTTTGGTTGGGTCTTAGCTGTGTGGCTGTGTGTGTGTGTGTGTGTGTGTGTGTGTGTGTGTGTGTGTGTGTGTGTCTTAGCTTAGTTGTATGTGTGTGTATATGTGTGTGTGTTTGTGCATGCTGTATATGACATGTACATGTATCTTTTTGACCGCATATATGTTTCCTGACTGTTGCTGTGTCCGTGAGTCCACGTATCCACACGAACAGCAGACTATCCACACGTACACCAAACTGTTCGTACCATAAAAGAATGACATCAAATGGCTATGGATCCGGATGGAATTTTACACCAAAGGCCGGAGATCAGACGCTGGGTGTCAATATGCATTTATTTGCTTTGAAAGGTCAAGTTGAAGCTTAATAAAAAATATTAAAAATTGTCCTCGTCACTGTCACAAAGGACGGGGATAGAAAATAGGAATACCCTACACTTGGACCCATTACCCGTTTTTTTTAACCTATCCACCAGCCATCCTATCCTAAAATAGTACTTATTGGTACTATTTTTCTCGTAATTATTATTATTTGGACTTTGGTTGCAATTAGATTTTTTGGCGTCCATATATTTTCCATGGTTGTTGGGCTGCGTGTTTTATATATGCATTAATGTGCAACAGTGTTCAACAGAGCGGGATGGCGTAAAGTTTATTGCATATCATTTTATGCTGTTATCCGTTCATTTGCAAAGATGTTTGAGTTATTGTAGCGACTGTGTTTTGGTCGCTGTCCCGATGCTATAACCCACTCTGCAATTGTTTGGATACTGCGAGCGTCGGGAATGTTGTGTTGGTGTAGAGGGGTTATATATGGGGCTTAGCAGTGACCTTTTGCAATGACCTTTTGCAGTGACCTCTTGTAATGACCTTTGGAAGTGACCTCTTGCAATGACCTCTTGTAATGACCTCTGGCAATGACCTCTGACAATGACCTCTGGAAGTGACCTTTTGCAATGACCTTTGGAAATGTCCTCTTGCAATGACCTCTTGTAATGACCTCTTGCAATAACCTCTTGCAATGACCTCTGGCAATGATCTTTTGCAATGACCTCTGGCACCTACTGACCCAAGAGTATCTAATCCTACCTAAGAATAATCTTATCCTTTATTTCTCAACCTTTCAACAGCACAACATGTGAAATGTTCTCTACGTCAGACCATGTAATATACATATATCATGTACATATATTATGTACATATATATACATTAATAACGAAGGAACGCTCGGACTTAGAACACAACACTGTTATCCTATATTTTCCTTTTATTAATATCTAAGAATGTTGATATTAGGTTTAAAATACTTTGGGCACAACACAGTAGGCCTATAAGGTTGTTGGTGAGATTCAGAAAATCTAGGTTCAATAGAAAAATAGGCCTAAAGTTGTTAGTGAAGTTAAGATACTTTAGATATGAATAATCATATATATATATATATATATATATATATATATATATATATATATATATATATATATATATATATATATATATATATATATCAATATATTATATTATCATTTACATATGTACGATTATTTATATGTGTAAATGAGTAAATGTTTATTACATATGTAAATGAAAATACATATTTAAATGATAGCAAATATGCAAATGATAGTACATAATATTTACATATGTGCTATCATTGAGGCAGTAAGTATATATGAGGGTTTGAGGTCACTTCCGCTTCCTGTATCCGGTGTTGCAATGCCGGAAGTGTTAAGGCACTGACCCTAGCGGCACTGACCCTAGCGGCACTGACCCCGGCGACACTGACCCCGGCGACACTGACCCCGGCGGCACTGACCCTAGCGGCACTGACCCTAGCGGCACTGACCCTAGCGGCACTGACCCTAGCGGCACTGACCCCGGCGACACTGACCCTAGCGGCACTGACCCTAGCGGCACTGACCCTAGCGGCACTGACCCTAGCGGCACTGACCCTAGCGGCACTGACCCTAGCGGCACTGACCCTAGCGGCACTGACCCCGGCGACACTGACCCTAGCGGCACTGACACTAGCGGCACTGACCCTAGCGGCACTGACCCTAGCGGCACTGACCCTAGCGGCACTGACCCTAGCGGCACTGACCCCGGCGACACTGACCCTAGCGGCACTGACACTAGCGGCACTGACCCTAGCGGCACTGAGCCTAGCGGCACTGACCCCGGCGACACTGACCCCGGCGGCACTGACCCTAGCGGCACTGACACTAGCGGCACTGACCCTAGCGGCACTGACCCTAGCGGCACTGACCCCGGCGACACTGACCCCGGCGGCACTGACCCTAGCGGCACTGACACTAGCGGCACTGACCCTAGCGGCACTGACCCTAGCGACACTGACCCTAGCGACACTGACCCCGGCGACACTGACCCCGGCGGCACTGACCCTAGCGGCACTGACACTAGCGGCACTGACCCTAGCGGCACTGACCCTAGCGGCACTGACCCTAGCGACACTGACCCCGGCGGCACTGACCCTAGCGGCACTGACACTAGCGGCACTGACCCTAGCGACACTGACCCCGGCGACACTGACCCTAGCGACACTGACCCCGGCGACACTGACCCCGGCGACACTGACCCCGGCGACACTGACACTAGCGACACTGACCCTAGCGACACTGACCCCGGCGACACTGACACTAGCGACACTGACACTAGCGACACTGACCCCGGCGACACTGACCCTGGCGACACTGACCCTAGCGACACTGACCCCGGCGACACTGACCCCGGCGACACTGACCCCGGCGACACTGACCCCGGCGGCACTGACCCCGGCGGCACTGACCCCGGCGACACTGACCCCGGCGACACTGACACTAGCGACACTGACCCCGGCGACACTGATACTAGCGACACTGACCCCGGCGACACTGACACTAGCGACACTGACACTAGCGACACTGACCCCGGCGACACTGACCCCGGCGACACTGACCCTAGCGACACTGACCCCGGCGACACTGACACTAGCGGCACTGACACTAGCGACACTGACACTAGCGACACTGACCCCGGCGACACTGACCCTAGCGACACTGACCCCGGCGACACTGACCCCGGCGACACTGACCCTAGCGACACTGACCCCGGCGACACTGACCCCGGCGACACTGACACTAGCGGCACTGACCCTAGCGACACTGACCCCGGCGACAATGACCCCGGCGACACTGACCCCGGCGGCACTGACCCCGGCGACACTGACCCCGGCGACACTGACCCCGGCGACACTGACACTAGCGACACTGACCCCGGCGACACTGACCCCGGCGACACTGACCCCGGCGACACTGACCCCGGCGACACTGACACTAGCGACACTGACCCCGGCGACACTGACCCCGGCGACACTGACCCCGGCGACACTGACACTAGCGACACTGACCCCGGCGACACTGACCCCGGCGACACTGACCCCGGCGACACTGACACTAGCGACACTGACCCCGGCGACACTGACACTAGCGACACTGACCCCGGCGACACTGACACTAGCGACACTGACCCCGGCGACACTGACACTAGCGACACTGACCCCGGCGACACTGACCCTAGCGACACTGACCCCGGCGACACTGACCCCGGCGACACTGACCCCGGCGACACTGACACTAGCGACACTGACCCCGGCGACACTGACCCTAGCGACACTGACCCCGGCGACACTGACCCCGGCGACACTGACCCTAGCGGCACTGACCCCGGCGACACTGACCCCGGCGACACTGATCCCGGCGACACTGACCCCGGCGACACTGACCCCGGCGACACTGACACTAGCGACACTGACCCTAGCGGCACTGACCCCGGCGACACTGACCCCGGCGACACTGACCCTAGCGACACTGACCCTAGCGACACTGACCCCGGCGACACTGACACTAGCGACACTGACCCCGGCGACACTGACCCCGGCGACACTGACCCTAGCGACACTGACACTAGCGACACTGACCCCGGCGACACTGACCCTAGCGACACTGACACTAGCGACACTGACCCCGGCGACACTGACACTAGCGACACTGACCCCGGCGACACTGACCCTAGCGACACTGACCCCGGCGACACTGACCCCGGCGACACTGACCCTAGCGACACTGACCCTAGCGACACTGACCCCGGCGACACTGACACTAGCGACACTGACCCCGGCGACACTGACCCCGGCGACACTGACCCCGGCGACACTGACCCCGGCGACACTGACCCTAGCGACACTGACCCTAGCGACACTGACCCTAGCGACACTGACACTAGCGACACTGACCCCGGCGACACTGACCCTAGCGACACTGACACTAGCGACACTGACCCCGGCGACACTGACCCTAGCGACACTGACACTAGCGACACTGACCCCGGCGACACTGACACTAGCGACACTGACCCCGGCGACACTGACCCTAGCGACACTGACCCCGGCGACACTGACCCCGGCGACACTGACACTAGCGACACTGACACTAGCGACACTGACCCCGGCGACACTGACCCCGGCGACACTGACACTAGCGGCACTGACCCCGGCGACACTGACCCCGGCGACACTGACCCCGGCGACACTGACCCCGGCGACACTGACCCTAGCGACACTGACCCTGACCCCGGCGACACTGACCCCGGCGACACTGACCCCGGCGACACTGACCCTAGCGACACTGACACTTGCGACACTGACCCCGGCGACACTGACCCCGGCGACACTGACACTAGCGACACTGACCCCGGCGACACTGACACTAGCGACACTGACCCCGGCGACACTGACCCCGGCGACACTGACCCCGGCGACACTGACCCCGGCGGCACTGACCCCGGCGACACTGACCCCGGCGACACTGACACTAGCGACACTGACCCCGGCGACACTGACCCCGGCGACACTGACCCCGGCGACACTGACCCCGGCGACACTGACCCCGGCGACACTGACCCCGGCGGCACTGACCCCGGCGACACTGACCCCGGCGACACTGACACTAGCGACACTGACCCTAGCGACACTGACCCTAGCGGCACTGACCCCGGCGACACTGACCCCGGCGACACTGACCCCGGCGACACTGACCCCGGCGACACTGACCCCGGCGACACTGACCCTAGCGGCACTGACCCCGGCGGCACTGACCCCGGCGACACTGACCCCGGCGACACTGACCCCGGCGACACTGACCCCGGCGACACTGACCCCGGCGACACTGACCCCGGCGGCACTGACCCCGGCGGCACTGACCCCGGCGACACTGACCCCGGCGACACTGACCCCGGCGACACTGACCCCGGCGACACTGACCCCGGCGACACTGACCCCGGCGGCACTGACCCCGGCGACACTGACACCAGCGACACTGACCCTAGCGGCACTGACCCCGGCGACACTGACCCCGGCGACACTGACCCTAGCGACACTGACCCCGGCGACACTGACCCCGGCGACACTGACCCCGGCGACACTGACCCTAGCGACACTGACACTAGCGACACTGACCCTAGCGGCACTGACCCCGGCGACACTGACCCCGGCGACACTGACCCCGGCGGCACTGACCCTAGCGGCACTGACCCCGGCGACACTGACCCCGGCGGCACTGACCCGGCGGCACTGACCCCGGCGACACTGACCCCGGCGACACTGACCCCGGCGACACTGACCCTAGCGGCACTGACCCCGGCGACACTGACCCCGGCGACACTGACCCTAGCGACACTGACCCCGGCGACACTGACCCCGGCGACACTGACCCCGGCGACACTGACCCCGGCGACACTGACACTAGCGACACTGACCCTAGCGGCACTGACCCCGGCGACACTGACACTAGCGACACTGACCCTAGCGACACTGACCCCAGCGACACTGACCCTAGCGACACTGACCCCAGCGACACTGACCCTAGCGACACTGACCCTAGCGACACTGACCCTAGCGACACTGACCCTAGCGACAGTGACCCTAGCGACACTGACACTAGCGACACTGACCCCGGCGACACTGACCCCGGCGACACTGACCCCGGCGGCACTGACCCCGGCGACACTGACACTAGCGACACTGACCCCGGCGACACTGACCCCGGCGACACTGACCCCGGCGACACTGACCCCGGCGACACTGACACTAGCGACACTAACCCCGGCGACACTGACCCCGGCGACACTGACCCCGGCGACACTGACACTAGCGACACTGACCCTAGCGACACTGACCCCGGCGACACTGACCCTAGCGACACTGACACTAGCGACACTGACCCCGGCGACACTGACCCCTGCTTTCCCCTGATAATTCCTTCCTTCTCTCCCCCCAATTTCAAATTTCTGCCCCCCCCCACCTTGCCCCATTAAGCCCCCCCTCCTCCCCACTAGCCGTCTCTGACCCCTAAACTCAATCCCTGCCCCCTCCCCCGCCCTCTGGGGTCCGACCCCAGCACACGGGGTAGGGATGATACTGGACGCCGGTAATCCTCAGCGGGTCTCCGCAAGCTGACCGCTGACTCCCGCAATACCACTAATCCCCTAGGCCCCCCCCCTACCACGCTCACCGCACCGCTCTCTATATATACCGTTGACGACACATAACCGCTCATCACGGGATCGCCATAGCCCTTGCTACATGGACATTTCTGAGTAGTTAAATCTAAAACAATATAACCGCTGATCGCAATACGCCAGGGATAACACCTGATGATAACCTGTGGATTACCAGATGATAACCGGGTAATTAAGTGGGGATTACTCTTTGATAACCTGGATATAGAACCTGGTGGTTATCTTGAGATGATTTCGGGGCTTTAGTGTCCCCGCGGCCCGGTCCTCGACCAGGCCTCCACCCCCAGGAAGCAGCCCGGTACAGCTGACTAACACCCAGGTACCTATTTTACTGCTAGGTAACAGAGGCATAGGGTGAAAGAAACTCTGCCCATTGTTTCTCGCCGGCGCCTGGGATCGAACCCAGGACCACAGGATCACAATCCCGCGTGCTGTCCGTTCGGCCGACCGGCTCCCTGGTGGTTGGTTACACAGCCACCAGGCCTCCGTGGTGATTAACTCGCCAACTAGGCCTCCAGGGTGTTGTAATTAGGCCTATAACTGTGCCAGGTTTGATGTGATCTTAACGAGCAAGTAGTAGTTAACGAGCTCTGAAGCAGCCCATCGAAGTCACCTGATCTCTTAATATCGTTCGCTCTTTCTGATTGGGCAAATGTGTTAGTTTTTGGGGGGGCTTTTTAACCCCTTACCTTGAGGTGCTTCCGGGGCTTAGCGTCCCCGCGGCCCGGTCGTCGACCAGGTCTCCTGACCTTAGTCTATCTCTCTCTCTCTCTCTCTCTTCTCTCTCTCTGATACCTTGTGTGAGAGAGAGAGAGAGAGAGAGAGAGAGAGAGAGAGAGAGAGAGAGAGAGAGAGAGAGAGAGAGAGAGAGAGAGAGAGAGAGAGAGAGAGAGAGAGAGAGATAAGGAAACACGATCATGACCTTAGACGTTTAAAGAATGGTTTTTCAAGAATAACGTCTCTTAAA